TGATGGAAATTTTTGATGGTCCAACATGAACAAACCATCAAAACAAGTTGCTATTCTTATGTTGGACCATCATAAATCTGACCTAATTCCTATATTGGGATGATGGCAGCTCCTGTTGGTTCCAACATATTATTTCTAAGACAATATGATGGAAATTTCTGATGGTCCAACATGAGCAAACCATCAAAACAAGTTGCTAATCTTATGTTGGACCATCATGAATCTGTCCGAATTCCTATATTGGGATGATGGTAGCTTATGTTGGTTCCAACATTTGATTTCTAAAAGCCATATCACACGTGCAGAAATTCTATTCCCAGAATTCTGGAACGACTGCCGTTTCTTGGAACGAACTTTTAAAATGAAGAGACACCAGGCCATTGATTGGTTAACTGAAGGCCTAACTATTGACATGTGTCATAGGGCACACCCACATCTAGTGCAATATCTCTCAAAATTTGTCGCATCTTTAATGTGTCAAGTCCGCTATTGGGTCCATAACGCAGACGCCTTTTCTGTGTTGTGGCACATTGCAAGTCAGTGCACCCTGGATGCATTTGCTGGTTCGGATCTTAGCCAGCTTTTTTACTCTAACTAAGACATTCAGAACTTTTTCCAGACACAAAAACAACAGTCNTGGGTATTTGTTGAATTATCCTGTTAATGTGTTTTAATTGTGATAAAAATTTTGAGCTACCTAGTTACTTTTTTAGGATATATATATATATTCATTTAGGAAGCACTAGTGTATGTTACTCTTTTTATCAAATATCTGCAGTACAATATTTTAAATAGTCTTAGTTTAACCATAGAATTTTTTTTTTTATACAGGTTAGGAGAGGCATGTGGCTGGCCTTTTATTCACCATAGAGAGTGGAATACGGGAGAGTTTGAAGAATCCATCTTGCACTAGCGAGCCATGTCAATAGAAGAAAGTTTCCAAAATAGGTGATTATTATGTACCTATTATGTTTATTAAAAATAATTTTGAATCTGTATTATAACACATGTTTTTCTTTTAAAATGTTGTAAATATTTACAAGAGAAAATGCTGTAAGTAAATGAACAAGTTGCTTTTTATATGGAGTAATCTGTATTTTGCAAAATATTATGTTTAGAATTTCTGGTCAGTTTGTATGTAGGATTTCATATTTGAGCTATGTTTATGCTTGATATATTAGCTACACAACAAGAAGCATTCCATTCTGAGAAATGTCAAAATTGTGTACATGATATAGATGTAGGGAAACTTAAATTTTTATATCACATAAATGGTAGCGGAAGATTAAAACATTGCTACATGATAAATTGCTGTCAAGAGCAGTAGAATTCTGTCAAATTTCTTTAATGCTGAATTAAAAACATGCATCAAAGAAACATCCTTTTTAAAAATGTCATAAATTTGCAGGTAAATCTTGTTTGATGATCATCAAACATATTTAATGAAAACTTTCTTGATTACATACAGTAAACTGCTCAGCAATAATAGTATAAAGTTAGTAAGAAATTTCCAATACAAAATGTTGGTGTATAAGCTTCGGTGATGGGAATGTAAGACGTCAAATGAAACAATATGGCAATGAAACATCCTCCTTAATAGTAAAAGACAACAAACCATCAAGAAACTCACAAACTCCAATTAACAGGTTATCTGTTAAAAAACATTTAAAAGTTGTTATTAAAAGAACAATTAAAACTTAAACTTTCGATTGTAAACATCTCATACTGCAGGTGGGAGTCACCGGGTAGAAACGGAATATCGGTACGAAGTCTCGGACGCTGCACAACAACCCTCTCAAAGGCAGACTGTCATCTCCTTAAGTACTGGACATCAGCCTTTTCACTCCCTGTCTTGGCCGCCGGTTGATGCTCCTCCGCCGGTATTCATACGAACTATTCCGGTTCGTCCTCCTATCTTCGGTCTTCGATCCAATACTCGTTCCTTCTACCTTGGCTTTTCATGCTATCTCAGCTGTCGCAACCAACAGCCTCTACAGTTGGCTTTCAACTGTTGAAGACAAAATAATTGTGAATATCTACATTCTTCATAAATTAAGTAGTCTTACTTAATTTTAGTTTATATCTAGTCGCAGCTATGATTCCTATGTGACTTATGCAATAAAATTTTGTTCATTGACTAAATTCTTTTTTAGCCTGATTCGATGCCATCTTCAAAGATTTGCTTCAGTCGAGACAGAAGAAAGAAAGCTGCATCAAGTGGGAAAATACCTGTCAAACACCCCAAAGAAGCTTTTGAGAGATTTCTGAATATTATAAAGGTTGGTTATTTAAAAATAAATGACGTAGATAAAACTGTTATATAATTTACTGCATAATTGGGTAAATGGTAAAAGTAATTTTTTATTACGACCATCTTACTAATGTTCTACAAAGTGTCAATCCATAGAGCTTAGTATTACATTTTGAAATTGAAGGTTTGTCCTTTGTATGATGGAATTACCCTAAAATATTCAGGGTTCCTACTGTCTTAAGTCTTTAGAAACTGCTTAACTTTTATTTGGGAAAATAAGGGCCCTTAAAAATACTTAATAATTTTGGTATAAGGNAATTTTTACTAGAAGTAACTTAACAAACATATTCACCTGCTATGTGAGGTACAAAAGCAAAATTTTATTCCTGTTTAATAATTTCATTATATGTATATTTTTAATTAAAAAAGAAACTCAAAGAACTTTTTGTTATAGATGTCTGGAGCTTATTTTCAGCAGCTTGATAAAATTTCTAAGAAGCGGTATCAGGAGAAGCTCACAATTGGGGGAACTTTTTCAGGATAAACAATTATCCAGCGTGGCCAAATATATCTTTTGGAGATGTATATATGTATCTAGTTGTTAAGAAGTGCTTCTACACGAATGAATCTTTTGAGAACTGTAAGGGTTGGAAGCATATAACTTTTTAACGAGTGGTAAAATTTCAGCCATTCGTTCTTTCAAAAGTGACAAGTTAGGTGTTGTTCTTCTTGCTTGCAAGGTACAAGGAAGCCAGGCATTAAGGAAGTTTCACGAGCCTTGAGCTATTGCAGAGGTGACAGGAAAAGTTATAAGTGCTCATTGCACATGTATGGCAGGGTGAGCATTTTATTTTATTTCTATATCACAAGTATAAAACTGAAGATAGATAACTTTAAGCATCTTTTTTGAAGAAAAAAAAATGTTTTGTTTCATGAGTAGACTAACACTTACTGCTGAGTTCCATACATGGGTATTTGTTGAATTATCCTGTTAATGTGTTTTAATTGTAATAAAATTTGTGAGCTACCTAGTTACTTTTTAGGATATATATATATATATATTCATTTAGTGAGCACTACTGTATGTTAATCTTTTTATCAAATATCTGCAGTACAATATTTTAAATTGTCCTAGTTGTTTAGCAATTGAATTTTTTTTAATACAGGTTAGGAGAGGCATGCTCTCATGTGGCTGGCCTTTTATTATTCACCATAAAGAGTAGAATACGGGAGGGTTTGAAGAATCCATCTTGCACTAGCGAGCCATGTCAATGGAAGAAAGTTTCCAAAAAGGTGACTATAATGTTTATTAATAATAATTATAAATCTGTATTATAAGACATGTTTTTCTTTTAAAATTTTGTAAATATTTACGAGAGAAAATGCTGTAGGTAAATGAACAAATTGCTTTTTACATGCAGTAATCTGTATTTTGCAAAATATTATCTTTGAAATTTCTGGTCAGTTTGTATGTAGGACTTCATATTTGAGCTATGTTTATGCTTTTTAGTTCAAGTTTTAAATAAAAAAAAAGAGACTTTATTCTTGATATATTAGCTACACAACAAGAAGCATTCCATTCGGAGAAATGTCAAAATTGTGTACAGGATATAGATGAAGGGAAACTTAAATTTTTATTTTACATAAGTAGTAGTGGAAGATTAACACATTGCTACATGATAAATTGCTGTACAAAATGTTGGCTTTCAACTGTTTAAGACAAAATAATTGTGAATATCTACATTCTTCATAAATTGATTATTCTTACTTAATTTTAGTTTATATCTAGTAGCAGCTATGATTCCTTTTTGACTTATGCAGTAAAATTTTGTTCATTGGCTAAATTCTTTTTTAGCCTGATTTGATGCCATCTTCAAAGATTTGCTTCAGTCGAGACAGAAAAAAGAAAGCTGCATCAAGTAGGAAAATACCTGGCAAACCCCCCAAAGAAGCTTTTGAGAGATTTCTGAATATTGTAATGGTTGGTCATTTAAAAATAAATGACGTAGATAAAACTGTTATATAATTTACTGCATAATTGGGTAAATGGAAAAAGTAATTTCTTATTACGACCATCTTACTAATGTTTTACAAAGTGCCATTTCATGGAGCTTAATACTACATTTTGAAATTGAAGGTTTTGTCCTTTGTATGATGGAATTAGCCTAAAATATTCAGGGTTCCTACTGTCTTTAGTCCTTAAAAGCTGCTTAACTTTTATTTGGGAAAATAAGGGCCCTTAAAAATACTTAATAATTTTGGTATAAGGTTTTTAAAAGTCCTTAATAATACTTCAATATTTTAAAACAAAAAGTCATTCTTTTATTACTCTTTTAGATATCAGGTTTTAAGGGATTTTTCTCCCAAAAGAAGCTACTACCACCATGAGCTATTATTGTTTGCTACTCAACTTTATATACATATGTATATATATATATTTATTTATTATAATTTTTTTTTCAGAAGGAGATACCAAATGCACCATATTTTAACTCGGTTGCTGATGAGGAGAGCACTTCCTCAGCCAGTGAAAATGAGGGTGTACAGCATCTCCCTAATGTTGTAGATTTAATTGCAGACAATAATCACAGAATTCTTGGAAATATATCTGTTGACTCTAGGAGGGATATCATTTTTAAAGAATTGTGTTCTTTAAACATTGATGTTGTTGATATTGAAGAAAAAAACCAGAGTCCAGATAAAGATCTTTGAGTGGATGGAGCAGAGAAAAGGGCGCCTAACTTCGTCTCTATTTCATAGAGTAGATCCGGACAATTAGGGATTGTAAAAGAAATCCTTCAAATAAACCCAATTGAAATGAAAGATATAAGGTGGGGTAAGATGATGGAAAAAAAAGCTCTTCATGCGTTAAAAACCTATACTGAAGAGCATGAGAATGTAATTATTCTCCAATCTACCGGTTTGCTGGTAGATAAGAAACATCCTTTTCTGGGAGCTTCCATTGATGGAAAAATGATGTGTGATTGCCATCCACCGGCAATTATCGAAATAAAGTGCCCCTATTCCATTAGGAACGAAATGACTCAAGATGCTAAGTCTAAGAGTTTTTTCTTAGATAAAGAAGGGTGTTTGAAGTTGAAGCTTCCTTACTACAATCAAGTTCAAGGACAAATGGCAATTTGGGATGTTGAGCTGTGTTATTTCATTAAATACACCACAATTGATTTAAATATTCAGAAATTATGTTATAACGAAGCTTATTGGCAGATGCCAATGCCAACTTTGCTTCAATTTTACAAAAATTTTGTTATTTCTGAAATTTTAGATGCATCATTGTAAATGTTATATTGTGTATGTAAAGCTAATTTCTTTATTGCTTTTTATACGGTTTTTGGCCTCTGGACAATTAAAAACTGATTTCATTTTTGCTTTTTATACGGTTATACAGTCACCAAATTATTAAATACTACCATCCTATGGATGCTTAAACCATTGGGTATATATCATTTCAATGGGTTAACCCGGCAGGACATCAGGGTATATATCATTTCAATGGGTTAACGCGCGCCTCACGTACGAACACAAAAACGCGCGTGGGGTTCTTATGGACCCCACAAACTTTAATTACTTTTTAACCTTTTTGCATAGTAATATTTTAAAACAAAATGATTATAATTATAAAATTTAAATTTTATGAAAGTTATTAACACATGAAATCATTAAAATACTCACAATAATCCATAAAAAATAGCATATTTATTATACATAACTTACTCTATATTTTCTTCTTTATTCATTCCATACTCTTTTTTCATGCAGTTTTGACATACACTAAATGTGTGTTCTTTGCACAAACTTTTTCACATGTTACACACGCAGTAGATGATTTTTTGTCCTTATTACGTGGGCAAATGTAGCAACGTCCTCTAGATTTTTGAGCTTTCTTCTTTGAAGCGGATTCATTTTCATCTTTTTCGTTGTTGCATGCATTCAGGCATCTCTTTCTGCACTCTTTGGGAAGGTTTTCTTGCTGAGAACGTCGATCAATGAAATTTTTTATGTGTCCCAGAGCTAAATCTTTCAAGAATAATCTTCTACTTCTGTGTTGTAGAGGTGGTGTTTTGGTTGAATGGAGAATTATTCGTGCATTTATGGCCGCGATATTGAGAATAGAGTAAAATATTACCATTGGCCATCTATTTGTGATTCTAGCTGCGGAATAGTTTGCTTCTATTTCATCAACAACATCTACGGCACCTTTCGTAAGGTTATAGAAAGATATTATCTCCGGTTTCTTCTTCTTATTCCCCGTCTCTGTATCAATTGCATCGTCGTTGTGCATTGAGGACAGAAGAACAACGCATTTTCCCTTTTTCGGGATGTAAGAAACAGCAGTTATGTCCTTTTGAAATCCAAAAACAGAAGAATTAACCTCACGACCTTTTGCAACAGTGAATTCTTCAGGTATTTCTCGTTTGTCTTTTCGAAGAGTTCCCACGAGAGTAATCTTCTCATTCAAGAGATCTTTGGCCAGAGGATAACTGGTATACCAATTGTTAGTAGTTAGATTTCTTCCGGTCTTATATAAAGGTTGCATTAGTCTTTTGACAATATCGATAGGTCGATTACTACTGCGAAACTGACCTTCGGGTTGAATGCCTGCATAAATCTCCATGTCGGAAGTATAAAAAGTACGTGAATCTACTACAGCAAAAATTTTTATTCCATATTTTGGCTGGCTTGTTAGGAATATATTGCCGAAATCCACAACGCCCTCTGAAGGGTAACAGTTTTTCATCAATTGTTACGTATTCTCCAACATAGTACGATTCTCGGCAATTTTTAACAAGCAACATAAAAATGTTCTTAATAGCAGCAAGTTTGTCTTCCTTTTGTCTTTCTTCCCTTGTGCATATATCATCGAATTTCAAACATCTCAGGAGAAACAAAAAGCGCTTGTAGGACATCGTCGCAGGAAAAATTTCAATCCCTGTACCATCGGTAGCCCACAAATCACGAACATTCAGGTGTGAAGATTTGTGTAATCCACATAAATATAATAATCCAAAAAGAGCTCGTAATTCAAATTCATCAGTTCCTTTGGCATCTCTTTTTCTTGAAAAATTGAACGATATTTTTTCGATGTAAATATTTGTGCAAATAATTATTTCATCCATAATTTTCCGATCTATAAAAATTTCCCAAGCTTCATTTGGCCTGGATACAGACTTTGCAGCCAATCTAGGTCCTGGGAGATGGAAAATGATGTTGTAAGCACGAGTTCGTACATTGCTCTTGAATTTTTCCTTTCTCCAAACTGTACATTTATCTTTTCTAGTAAAATAATCATCACTAGAAGCATCTTCTTGAGCGGAATCTTCATCTAATTCTGACTCTGAGTCATTATCACTCAAAATTTCGTGATCAGAATTACATTCTGTTTCCTCGTCAGAGAAAGTGTCTTCCTCACTCTCAACTTCCTCCAAAAGTTTTCGCAGCCTCTCCATTTATTTTTCGTATGGAGTAGGCATGTTGACGGTGAGAAAAAACGTCCGAACGCAAAGAGAAGCAGTGTTTAAATGCATCTTTTCCACTAACGCGAAAAGGCGCGTGGGGTCCAATCACACCCCTAACTTGTCAACTCCTTTGTCAAAGAAGAAATAATGACCCTTTGGAATTTGTAACAACTGGAATAGGCTGGTGGGAGTATAAAAGTAGACTACTGATAAGAAAGAACTGTCAAGGTCAACAGAAGAAAAGAAATTGTATTAAAAAAAATCGCGTCTTGCCGGGTTGAGTTGGTGGTCGACTTGGCCACTCAGATTTAACTTATGATAAAAAATATCCAGTATTGCTACCAAATAATGGTAAATTAACTGCTATGATTCTCAATTACTATCACAAAAAGTATTTGCATTGCGGTTCTCAATCATTATTGTATTATGTACGTAAAAAGTTCTGGCCTTTAAATGGTCGCAATAATTGCATAAAAGTTATTCATGAATGCATTATTTGTTTTAAATGTCAACTTAAATCTCAACAACAATTATGGGAGATCTTCCCTTTGAAAGGATAACCCCAAATTTTACATTTAACTGCGTTGGCGTAGATTTTTGTGGACCTCTCATGATAAAGTATAAACACCAACGCAAGGGTATTTATCAAAGAGTTTATGCATGTATTTTTATATGTATGGTAACCAAAGCCATACATTTAAAGTTAGTTACGGATGTAACTACTGAAGCTTTAATAGTTTCATTAAAGCGTTTCTTTGACCATTACAATATGGAAACATTTGAAAAACTTTTATTTAAGTAACCTACAGAATAGGTCAAAATGGGCAGTTGATAAGAAAAATGTAAATGTCAGAGAAATGTTAATAATAAAAGAGGATAATACCCCACCATCGAAATGGAGGATGGGCAGGATAGTTGAGGTGTCTTATGGGAATGATAATAAAGTAAAAGTTTGTTACATAGAAACAAAAGATGGCATTTTTAAAAGACCAGTCACAAAATTATATATATCCATTGCAAGATAACTAATTGAATTTAACTTTTGCAAATTGTTAATTTTGTGTCTGTTTAAAACTTATAAATCTCTTTGAATTGTTTATTAATAATTGAATTTGAATGTATTGAATTGAATTGAATTGAATGTATGGTTTAGTGGCACAAGGTCCCGAAAAAGGACATACTGCGCCAAACACACGGTTTTAAAAACAGATTAAAAGGTTAAGTAAAGCACACGTATAAAATCAGATATGATAGTGAAAATTCTAAAACAATGTTGTAAAGTTACATACATTAAAATCAATAAAACTGCATGGTAAATTTACTAAAACACTAAATGGTATAAAACAATTATATACAACTTAAAATTCCAATAGCGCGTAAGAATGCAAAGATGTTAGGATGGTGATTTTTATCTAACAAGTCTTTTATATATAAAATCGTGTTTCCAAAAAAGGTAAGGCGTTGTTGGTTAAAACATGGACAAGCGATTAAAACATGATGAATTGAAAGTGAAACGTTACAAGTATCGCATCGAGGAGCCGGCTCTCCGAACAGCAAGTGAAGATGAGTCAATCGAGTATGTCCTATACGTAGACGAGTGAGCTTGACATCTGCTCCACGCAGTTGCAACACAGGCTAAGGCTCTAGTGTGGATTTAATTGTGTGCAGTTTGTTTTCAATTTGTAAATCCCAGTGTTGCTGCCACAAAGACATAGTAAACTGTCGTATATAATTCTTCATGTCAGAAATGGGCACTGATAGTGTTAATGGAGTCGTAGCAGATCGGGCAGTAGAGTCAGCCTTGTCATTACCTGAAATACCAACATGGCTGGAATCCAACAAAATAAAATCTTAAAACCACTTTTGTGAAGACTAACAAACAGATGTTTAATGATACATAAAATAGAGAGAGCTTCGTTGTTTACATGATTATTCAGCTGACGTAAAACACTTAGGCTGTCAGAGTAAATGCAAAACTTTCGTGCGGTTAGTGATGAGATAAGTCGTAGAGCTATGAGAATGGCCACAGCTTCAGCAGTAAATACAGAACATATGGCAGGTATGATATAACTGCATGTTCGATCAGCTATAATGATTCCACATCCGACATGCCCTGGAGATTTTGACCCATCCGTATAAACAGTAACACACTGAGAATACTCATGACGATGAGACATGAATAGCTGAATATACACGCTAGGAGATATACTGGATTTTCTGTATGAAGCAAATGGAGAATAAAAGTGATATGACGGAATAATCTAAGGTTTGTTAAGAAAGTGATCGGTTGATTGAGATGGTGATTCGCAAAAATTGAATGTCTGAATGACTGTATGCATACGAGCATTAAAAGGAGGTGTGTGCATCATATAATCGTCGTAAGCTTAGTGGAATAACCTCATGTCGAAGAGGATGAGATTTAGATGGCATAACACGAAAGTAAAATGTAAGACAGAGCTGCATACGTCGAAAATAGAGAGATGATAAATTACATATACTATATAAACTTTCGACTGGGGACGTTCGAAATGCGCCGCTACAGATTCGCATCGCAGTATGATGGACTGTATCTAACAGCTTCAAATTTGACGCAGTTGCAGTGCCATAGATTGCGCAAGCATAATCAATGCGTGATAATATCAACGCTTTGTAGATTCTGATTAGGGCGATGCGATCCGCACCCCAGAATGAGAGAACACGTAGGACGTTTAAAGTTTTTTCACAACGTTTTATAAGGATAACGAATATGGGGCAGGAAAGTGAGGTTACTGTCAAAAATTACGCCTAAATATTTCGTCTCCGACACAATAGGTATATTAACGTTATGACTGGAAATAACAGGATCATTGTGTAATCTGCGCATTTGAAATCTTATTGACGGCCAGCTGAAGTTGACGCTCAATAACGCGCATATCAGAGCCAGAACATGAAACATTTAGATCGTCAACATAAAGTGAACCAAATACATGAGGTGGTAGTATGTTCAAAATGAGTGAAACATGAGTAATAAAAAGTATGACACTTAAAACACTGCCTTGAGGAATGCCTTCGGCCTGAATGAAGAGGTCTGAAAGTGTAGAACCGAATTTTACCCTAAAATACCGTTTCGTCAGAAAGTTCTTCAGGAAGATGGGTAAATTACCACGAAGTCCCATATCGTAGAGTGTCTTAAGAATTCCGTATCGCCATGTCCGATCGTAAGCCTTCTTAATA